AAGAAAATGCATTTAAATTCATTACGAACCACCTCTGACACGAATTCTGAAATTCCTACCGGCATTTGTATTGATGATATATATTATCTTTGAGGTCCAGCGGACAAAATAGATCAAAGTAAGTTACAATTTGAACATCCATATTTTTTAGGATATCTTATGGGATGAGTTTTCGAAGATAAATAAAATGGTTGGTTTTACTGAAACTTTGCTTAGCAAAACTAAACTAACTTACTGTAATTAAAACCATAAAAGTAGTTTATACATTATCATAGTTTATAAAATAGTTTATAAACAAGCTTATTGATAAGCTAGTTTGAAATAAAATTTTCATAAGCTAGCTTAAAGCTAGTTTGTCAAACAAAGTTTAAGTATAAAAACTTAGACTTGTAGTTTACGAATAATAATTATTTTTTCACTTTTTTTTTGTTTGCATATGACTAACATCCGGCATTTTCCTTCGTATTATATAAATTTGACAGAATATTCAATGACACTTTTTTTCTTCATATTATATAATTTTGATGTCATTTTTCTGACCTTATATCAGGCAACAAAAAATGTAAATCCGACAACAAATAATGTTATAATAGTCCCTTAAATATCCCACAAACAGTAAATAATTAGTAAAAACATTTGATTTATCAGATAGTATACAAGTACATATTATAACCCCTCTTTAAAATCCGGGACGAAAGCTAAGATATAGAAAATGGTAACTATTTTTGTGACGATAAAAATTCGTATAAAAAGGTAGTCTCTAACACATTTGACATGGGTTGATATCGAACCAACAATTGATACCATTTCGTTTATCTTAGTGATCTCAATATCCTGGTTTTTTCCATCTAACCATTTCAGTTATTCTTAACATCTATTCCATGTTATGTTATTTTAATGGTGCACTACTACACTTTTAATTCTAGGTCATTGGCATGCTACACAGTTGCAAATCGTGTCATTGGCTGCAACATATGCATTACCTTTTTCTTGAGCAAGGAGGACAATTCTTGGTTGGATGAGATTATGAGAATGTGAGAAATTGGGTAGGGTTATAATGGAGATTTGGATACCTCTTGGATCGTGTAAACACTTTCCGAACTGATATTTCTACCATATGCCCGAGTTACAAGAAACTCAGCTTAGGATAATCCCCAAGGAGACACTTATGAATCCAGACACAGAAAACATAAGCCAAATTGCTAGAAGATTCTGAGTTCGTATGAAGAAAAACGAGAGCTAAAAATGTGATCATTCTCCACAAAAGGAGAGTTGTTTATATAGAAAACGATAAGTAGGGTTTCCAAAATTGACGATCTTAGTCAGTTTTGTAGTGGGACCCTAGACAGGGGCTCTGCCCCTTGGACCCCGTCTAGGGGCGTTAGACCCCGCCAAAGGGGAGCTGCCCCCGGACCCCGACTTGTTGTCGAATCGACTTCTAATTCAATCTTATACATGCGTGCACCCGCACATACTCAAACATATATTTGAGTACAAATTACAAAGCTTCTTATCTCATATGTAAGTTCCAATTACACAAAACGTCCCGTGACATTAAAATCACCAAAAGACAATTCGGTGGAGAACAAACTACATTTAACTAAAAAGCACCATATTAATATATGGCTCAAAGCACTAGCATTTTAAGAAAGTTTTAGTTCTTTTAAACTTTTAAATGAAACTCCATGTATTTATCTTGCACATTTTGCAGCAAGTTTTTTCATTGTCCAAATTTGTCAAATACAACGTTGTATAACATTTCAGATGACACTCACGTTTCGCAGACTCGCTACAAAACTATATCTTATTATGTTTTGTTTAGTGGCTCCTTTTTATTTGTATTAAAAAAAATGTAAAAAGACATAGACACGGGAAAAGGCTAACGCACGTTCGCAATTTTTGTCCTTCACCTCTTCACATGGTGGGTCTACTTAATGAGCGTCTTTATATTATTATTATCTACACATTAAAAAATATAAATCGTGGTTATATTTGACCAACAAATATGCACAGTTTAAGGTGACGAAATAGACATGTTGGACTTGAAGTGTATAAACCTTGTTACAATAATATGTGTTCTTTTTTACTTATAACATGAAGCAAAATATCATTTTCACAAAATCAACCATTTATATGTTGGAGAAATCAAAGCAGGTGTAATGATAATCAATTTTGGTTATTAAACTCGATATGAGACATTTTACCTAAGCAATAAGTAGTTTTATCCAAATGGATAAGAACCACGAATGATAGTTACATTGTCGGTTGACAGTAGTTTCAGTAGCACTTTTAACTTCAACTTTTAAGTACCAAAGTTTCATTACTAAGGCTATAAGGAGTAGTAACACTCCTAGCATCTTGTCACATAGTTTTTTTTAGACACATAGGTTTTTTTATTGTCACTTAAGCTTAGCATGTATAGATTGAAAAAGGTAGAGAGAGATATCCATTGAATTCCGTATCAGTTATGTCCGGAATCAAACCAGCTCATACAAATGTGCGGCATTTCGCATTTCGTATCCCCTATCACGTATTTGAGCATAACCTAAATCTCATTTGAGTAGGATACTCGTATACTACTAGCATCCATAAAAAAATGTTATCTAAAAAAACTCTATATTTTAACCATTTAAAGTATATTACATAACAAACTTGTGGATTTATCATTTATGAACATATAGACACCAATTTGACTCACATGCCTCCCATGTTGCATGCAGATGTGCCATAACTCTCTTGTAGACTAGGCTTCTTTTAACCTACTTTGGAATAATGCCACCAATCAATATGTCCACATACCTCAGGCCGTAATAGCCACAGATTGTTCCGGCAAAACCATGTTCTAAACAAAAACAACTATTCTACCTTATTATTAAAATTATTAATTTTTCATAAAAAAGATATCCAAACATTTCTAATGCATACACCTTAATCATTTTACCAAAAAAAAAACATTGATAAATATGTTTAGTGGTTGATTAGCAACCGCATTAAAATGACCTTTTGATGCCTTATTACAACCGTTCATTTCATCGTCTTTTCTAAGTTTTTATATAAAATATAGCATAACAAGAATAATGGTGAATGTGATCGGTGTTATAAGCATGCTCCTTAACCCAATAAATGTACATTCATTAGACCCGGTGATCCAACTTCAGTAATATCAAATTATATATAATAACAAATAGAACAAGTTAGGGGCTCTTTGGCAGGATCTGAATTTTTAAGAGGTCTGAATTTTTAAGAGGATCTGAAACTTTAAGATCTGAATTTTTAACATGCTGTTTGGTTGGAACCTCTGAATTCTTATTCATGTTGGTGTGTTCTAGTGTTGTAAATTCTTATTCAAATATATATATATATATATATATATATATATATATATATATATATATATATATATATATATATATATATATATATATGTCGATCGTGCACCTTATGTTTCTTTATACTTTGTATAATATTATGTATCTTTCTCACTAGCAGCTACATTTTCTTGATATTTAGGTGTTGTTTGTTTTTTTTCTAAAAAACATCTTCTAACCACTTATTGCTGCGCCGCACAGCACACGCACAACACTTGGCCATTCGCAGCTGTTTGTTTTTCAGAAGACTTCTGACTTAAAAACTGTTGCGTGTGTGCTGCGTGGCACAACATTTGACCCTCTGCTTCAAACCTCTTCACACCTTACTTTAACTTATTGCAACAGTCTGCAGAGGTTAAAAAACAAACAAAATTTTTTATTACATGATGCAGCCGTTTGGTCCCCCTCTTCTGCTACAGAGGGTTGCAGAGGTGGTCCGCAGACTTTAGACATTTTCGTTTCGAAAAAACAAACAACACCTTAATAATATGTGCTCAGGTACGACCTAGGCGGTGGGCGATAGAGGCGACTCTGTAGGGTCTATCATTCGAAGGGGCTCAAAATTTTCATGGGCTATGTAATATTAATATATAATCATCAGTCTATTTTTAAGAAGAAAAAAAAAGGAAAATTATATGAAGTAAGAATGAGCCAAATTCAAAGGCTCAAATTTGATATATCACTGGAAGCATGAAGAAGCAATATCATAGGCATAATAATCGTTGTTCAAAAAGAAGACGGGTAGGTGCAAGTGTGCAACCAAAAAAGGGAGAATCAAACCGACGAATTGTAAATTGGTAGCCTATGAAGTAATTAAGCAACAATATAATTGATTAATTGATTATGTGGTCTTAATTCCAAAGTCTTAATAGTTAGAATCTCATTGCATATATAATCATTTAAACAATTATTGTCGGTGTAGCATCCATAGAGATAAGTTTTTCAAAGTGAAAGTTATTAAAAGATTACTTAAGTTCATCGATGTCATAAGAAATACTGAATGATTTGAATCATTTATTTGTGGATAAAGATATGTTAAACAAGATTGATCTTGAAACTACTTCTATTAGAACGAAAAAGAAACTAAGCTTCCTTGGATTTTAACTCCTAATCAACTGGATAAAGGCACACGACACAACCACCGAACCATTTTTTTAAGACAAAACTTCAAAAATGGTCCCTGTGGTTTCAAAAATTTTAACATTTGGTCATTCTGGCTCATTCCGTTACCATTTAACCGTTAAGTAAGAGACATTTTTGTCATTTTACTACCCATGGACCATTTATGAGGTTTTCTATTACTTTTTTTAAAAAAATAAATATATAAATAAAATTTAATATGCAAGGGTCTCTCTCTCTCTCTCTCTCTCTCTCTCTCTCGATAGAAAAGAAAGCCAAACCCACACCTCCCTTCTCCATTCTCTTTGTTTTAGCTGATTAGCAGAGCATTCTTTTTTTGCTTCTATAATCTGTTTCACTTCCAAAGGACTAGGCAATCGAGATAACAACCTTCGAATTCTTCCATAAAGTAAGACGTTTTGACTCATCAATCGCTTCACCAATAAAACACACTTTCTACCCTTGGGCATCGATTACATTGCTTTAAGAACACAATTACTACAATATTTTGCATCACAAACCAAACAAGATTCTTTCGTTTCCCACTTCCCTTTCCCACACCTGTAACAAACTCGTCTTTTTTGTTGTCTTCATCTTCTTCATGTCTTTAGAACCTGCAACATATTTGGAGTATCCGGGCCCCACGTCTTTCCTCTCAGATCTATCGATTATGTTGAAAGTGACTGCAGGAGCTCGACCTCGTCTCACTTCGTTTCCATTAGCATCAACTTGTAGGTTTTGAGAAGAACGAGGAGACCCTGAAGGGGAAGCTGAAAATGAATCACCATTATGAAAAATAGAAACTACAGATTCAGAACTCCTTGATAATCTTAGACTTTCATTTGGGGAATCTGTTACATGTGCTCTATAAGAAACTGGCAAAGGTATGGGTTCAATTACAGGGGGGCCTCACGAGTGATGGATCTTCTTGAATCTAAAAATGATTCGGCTACAGATGTAATGGGGATAGAACGGGAATTTACTTCTAATGGTTCAACCCTTGGAACCTGATAAGAAACATTAGGACCCATGTATTCCATAAAAAGTTCAACCCCGATTCTTCCCAGAAGATTCCCACATAAATATAGAGTGAGAAAGAGAGAGTACTCTTCGCTTTTGTTTTAAGTTCGCAGACCCAAAATTCATAGAAGGGAAAGTTTGTTGAATTCGTCGGTTGTCGGCGACTCGAACTCACCGCAGCTCGAGATCTTCGTAGTGGGTCTTGGAATTTTTTGGATATTGAATCTGGAAATGAAACACTTGTAATCATTAAAGAAACAAAACTTAGTGGAGTTGGAGAAGCAGAACTCAGTGGAGATAGAGAAAAAAGAAAAAGGCAAATCTGGGTTTTTATCGAGAGAGAGAGAGAGAGAGAGAGGGGGAGGGAGGACCATTATATATTAAAATAATTATTTTTTAGTTTTTTATATAAAATAATAGAAAACCTTCATAAATGGTCCCTAGGTATTGAAATGACGAAAATGCCCCATACTTAACGGTAGAAAGTTGACGGAGTTAGGCGGAAGGACTAAACATTAAAGTTTTGAAACCACAGAGACGATCCATGAGGTTTTTGTAAATTAGGGACCAAACTTCAGATTTTGTGAAACCATAGGGACCATTTTTGAAGTTTTGTCTTTTTTTAATCTTGATACTATTACTAATGATTTCGTATCAAGTATTTTTATTTAAAGTAGTAGATTTTTTGTAAATTGTTTAATAATACTTGTGTCTTTGGGGTACCATTTTATTTCTCTCGTAGTGAGCCTAAAATATGTTTGGACCGAACTCGGTGCTCATGTCTATATATATATATATATATATATATATATATATATATATATATATATATATATATATATATATATATATATATATATATATATATATATATATATATATATATATGGAAAAGTTCAATTACAACCATTATTAATCAAGGAACCAAGGAACCAATCTAAATCGTCGGAATTTAAAGCGATCAACGACAAAAGGAAGGGTTGTATGTAACGCCCCGTTCCTGGTACACGTTTAATTTATTAACCAAGTATTTATTCTTGAGCTACTCGACGAGTTGGTAGCCCTAACTCGTCGAGTAGATGCCAGAAAGGACGCGGGGTTTAAAGAGTCTACTCGGCGAGTCCAAGCATGGGCTCGACGAGTAGGTCTGCCAGGAGGAAACCTTATTTTTGGGGTTTTGCACCCTATGTAAGCCACTTAAACACCCTTTGGGCCTCCCTTACCAGCCTCCCTGCCCTCCAGAAACCCTAATCCGATTGAGAGCTTCACCTTTGAGATTTTGAGTGTGTTTTTGTGTTATTGAAGATAGTTGGAAGAGCTTGGAGCTAGCAAGATTGTGGAAGAGGAACAAGATCCAGGAGTACATTCATCTTTGGCAGCTTTCTAAGGTAAAAAGCTCTTAGCTTGATAACCCATAGCCTAGATATCCTTTAATGTTGAATTGTGGGTCTTCTTGACCCTTTTGAGTGGGATAAGTTGCTTCTCATGGGTTGTATGCTAAACAATCCCTCTTTCCTGTGATATTTGGCCTCTAGAGTCATAAAAGGAGTCTTGAACCCGTTTTCATCCAAGCCATGGTCATGGTTATGGAAGTAGGTTGCTATAACTTGAGTTTGGGTTCATTTGAGGTGTGCAAAGCCATCAAGTCTCCAACTTTATAGAAATGGACCATGGAAACAACCCATATCTGTATTTTGGAGCTGTAGAAGTGTGAAACTAGTTATCTAGGTTAGATCTGCAAGGGACTCGACGAGTTCATAAGGGAACTCGGTGAGTCCGATGAAGGAAACCTTGATGATGTTCATAGGAGTCGGCGAGTTGATTCAGGAACTCAGCGAGTAGGAGGATCTTGTCCCTTTTCTGATTATGCCAGGACTCGGCGAGTCTGAGGACGACTCGACGAGTCAGTTCGATGAATCGCTATAACAAGTAACTTGGGAACTCGACGAGTCATGGCGTGACTCGGCGAGTCAAGTCGCGATTTCAGGGTTCTGAGTTCTAGGACTCGGCGAGTCACAAGGCTGACTCGGCGAGTCTGGTCAACTTGGAAAGTTGACCTTGACCAGGATGTTGACTTTGACCAGGGGTAGAATGGTCATTTTACCCTAAGAATAGTTATCAGTTTCAGTTTCTGATTAAGTAACATTATGGAATTAATAGCCGGAGAGTCGCCGGAGCAGCAGACAGGGATTCCTCGCTCAAGTTTTCAGCAGTCAGTCTTGCGAGGTGAGTCTTCTCCTGTAGGAACGGGTCTAAGGCACCAAGGCCAGCCCGTTTATGTGTGATTATGTGTGTCGGGGTTAGCCCGATGTAGGTCTTTTTGGATTAGGTGTCTAAGTTCATAACTATTTCTGGAATGTACTTGACCCGATTAGCATGGTCCATTTGCATTGCATGGCATCATGCATTTAAATAGACCAAAATGAGAGAAATAACACTTAAAGTTTATTAATATATTATAAGTTCTAACATATTAATAATATTATTTAATTAGTATTTATCAAGAATTAATTTGGAATTAATTAAGTGATCAAAAGAAGACTAATTAAATATATGGGTTGATTGTGTAAATCATACATACTTGTATAGTGGCTAATGCTCCATGAATTATCAAGTTGGGCTAAAACCCATAGGATGCTCCATGGTGTCTTTGAACCCATGGATCATGGAAATGAAGAGTCATGTCAAGTTAGGGTTTACATGGTGTAACCCTACTTATGACACACTATAAAAGGAATATGTTGTAGACCAAAATCGGCACTAGTGTGAGAACAAAAGGGCATAGCCGATTTTAGAAGTGTTCTATTTCTCTCAAGGTTATTCCAAGTGTATTTGGTGTTGTGTGAGACATTTTAGGCATCACACTTGAGGTGCTAGGCTCACAAGGTTTTCAAGGAATCATAACTACTACAAGGTATGTATTTCCTACTAACTTTTATGTTTAAAAGTTCCCCATGTATGCTAGATAGGTTATGAACCTTGGAAAAACAATTTTGCATGTATCATAGATAAAACATAGATCCAAGGTTTCTAGGGTTGCATGTACACTATAGTAGTGTTAGAATGCTCAAAACCCAACAGTGGTATCAGAGCATAGGCTTGTTTGTTTGATACTTGATGCAAAATTGTGAAAAAACTCAGTTTTTCTGCACTCTGAAGCATGAACTCGCCGAGTCCATGGGGGGACTCGACGAGTCCATGATCACATTCATCCTACTCGTCGAGTAGGTTCATGCACTCGACGAGTAGGAGCTCCTGAATGCAGATTTTCGAGTTTTGCTGCTGGAAATGGACAAGAAACATTACCCTAAACTGTTTTGATGTTATAAAACTTGTTTTAGATGGTGTAATGGTTATGTTAATCCATTTTCAATAGCTATTATCAAAGTTTCAAGTTTTATATGGTTTATTTATGATTCTTGAAATTGTTGATATGAATATTCATGAACTTATGAGTTTAGAAGATCATAGGAATTATTTGTAACTTGCTTGTTAGTTTAATTCTTGATCATTATGTGTTTTAATGGAATCCATAACTTGCCCTCAAGTTATGGATTACCAAAAGTCATTCTTTTAAAGTCCATTAAAGAAACACATATGTTACATAAAATGAAAAGTCTCTCATTTTAATAAACCATTTAACTCATAAGTTATGAAAGATGAAAAGTTTTGAAAGTTACAAAACTTGCCCTCAAGTTTTGGAACATGTAAAGTCACTTTAAAAACTTTAGTTCCAATCCCTAGAATTTTAAAAGTTAAAATTCAACCCTTATACTTTATAATATTATAAGTTAATAATTATTATATATGTATAAGAAAAAGTCGTTTTACCGTTAGTAGGCCTCATTCACGAAGCCGATCTATAAGGGGGGTATAAGGTTGTTGCCTATAAAATGACAGCTTAATGGGTGTCCACTCTCACCCACCGCTTCCTTGACTGGTGGAGGGTCGTTAGCCGAACGATAGGACAAGGACTAGAATTCTCCCTTCATTAAAAGTATTAATGATAAATACAAAGTAACTAAATGTTTTATAAATTCCCAATCTTAGTTACTTTAGGAAAATGTGAATAAGGTGCTAACCCATGGAATTACACTTTGCACTTTGCTTAAGTTGGTTAGTGGAGCGCGTGTGGTTAATCGGCACACTAGTAACAAGGTAGGAAAAGGGTAACTTAGTGTTTATCATAGTATCAATGGAGCGCGTGTGGTTAACCGGCACATCGATTGAGGGGTAATACATTAAGGGTACCAAGTAATTTGCATGGTTACTTCACACCTTATTTTGTGATCCTCGGCATCCCAGTCACAAAACCTGAAGGGCACACTCGAGATTGAAACATGCCATTGAAAGTTCAATGAATCTCAAAAGATCTAGGAGTTTCAAATCCAGTTAAAACCTTATAATTTATTTCGTTTTTCATTGTGGAAATTGGTGAATCGTCATTCACCTACCTTCAAATATTTTATAGCTTGGATTACGGCATCCCTCTTCCAAGTTATAAAATATTGTGTTGGGTCCTAGCCTTAATATTTCATATTGGGTGTTATATTAAGGACTTTAAATCAACTATCTTGAATATCTCCCAAAAGATGTCTGGTTCAGACAATTATGATCTTCCCGAAACTCTTGGAATAAGCTTTTCTAATGAAGATGATGTCCCGTGACTGGATCATGGAAATCATACTTTAATTCCTCCACCCCACCTCCTCCAATTATTCTCCCTATCCCATAAGTTCAAGGTCACTCAAGCCCTATTGGCAAGCAAGGTCTATGTGTGATCACATCTTGGAGATGAAGTCACATATTGACAAGTCGGGAGAGTTGGGTGTCAAAGTCTTGAAAAATTTGGTTGTTCAATCACTTTCTAATTCACATAGTGAGTGTCCTTTTGGACTACTATGTAAAAGACTATGACATGACCCTTAATGATCTTATCTATTTGCTTGGTGCTGCTGAATCAGAAATGATTTGGAGCTCTGGTAAAGCAAATTTGATTAGTAGATCAACT